TTCGGGTATCTGAGAATATGCCATATACATATACATGTAAATATATATTAGTATATTTGTCGGGGTTGGATGGAATAAAATACCTGTGACGAGCAGCTTGATTGTTTGGGGACGGTCGAAGATGCCAAGCATAGGCTAGTTGGACTATGTTGGACACGTTTCCTTTTGCACTGCAGCCGCTATCGGTTTCAAGCGATCGCAAAGCTTTTCAGTGAAAGTTCGTCCCGCGTCATCCCTGATTTTCGATTTTCGGGTCAGGGCTGGTGCCGGGACCAATGGTCTCGTTCGCACAGCCTTTGTTTTGGCAGCCTGGGCCTTACTGCTGTTGCGTCTTCATGCAGTATGTTCCACCTTTGTGTTTTCCGGTGCTGTCAATCTTCCGGGTCTTATACTCACCTTGAGGATAAAGTATGTGGTGAACGGTCTGAGCAAGAAGCCTTGCCCTCAGAGGTTTTGTGCTTTGCACACGATGACAAGCTTGTTCTATGATCTGCATCGAAGCAGCAGTAACAAGCTGGTGCCAGCATCTCTTGGATGCAGCTGCAGGACCCAGAAGCAAGGATTGAACGAGCTGCACAACTTGATTGCAGCTTATGGGTATGATGCGCAGGCTCGTGGGTTCGATAGTTCGGGCCATTTTGAAGCTGGGGTTCCGGTTCAGCGTGTCCACACATGAACTGAACATGAAGTGCGTGCGCATGGCAGTTCTTGATCGGATCAGCGCTTGCGTGACCGAGCCGAGGACTTCAACAATCTCCATCTGTACTGCAGACATGGCATGTGCAACCGTGCTTTCAAACTGTCTGAGTCCGCTTTAAACTGGACCCCTTCAGCATCCCGGCAGGTTTTCTTTCTGCGTGTTCTGATCGAGGAGTGTGCGGCAAACAACTGGCAGCCTACAGGCTGAACCGGTGTAGCGATGGTTGTCCCGATGTATTCGCGCATGGTTGCTGTGATTCACAACGACCTGGCGCAATCAGCTCCGAAACTCCTGTGCTAGGTCAATACTAGAGTCACTAGAGCACCTTAACGAGATAAGACCAGCATGCCAAGAGATTAAAAGTATGAGAGCGAGAGGAGAATATTCATGAGGATCGGACAGAAATCAAGCTGGAGTTGACTGTCTCGTGAGACAAAGGCCAGTGTAACAGTCTACCGTTCGAATGAAGGAGCGTTTCGATCTGTCATGCCGGAAACTCGATGTATGTATGGAAGTATTATAAAACAGCGCTACACTGTTGACACAACAACATACGGCAAGATACACTGGTGTAGCATCATAATGTCATTTTTGTCATCTATGTAAAGTTTGCGCATCTGAGGTATTGGCAGCACAAGAAACAGGATAGTATCAGAACGAACAACAATGATGCAACATAGCATGAATGTAGTGTTCATGATGGTGTATGGTGCCAGTCGCGATGTGTCTCGGAATGCTGAAGCCAAGTAATCATTGATCATCTGTGGAAGTGGAAGCATAAAGCAATGAAGCAAGATGAAGCTGCAGAATCATGCAATGCCTGTGTAAAGCAACTAGAACCAATGGTGAGGCAGACTCTCGATTTCATTTCTGGGTTGTCTCAGGTTTCCACCGGAATACAGGTCTCGTGAGGACCCTCTGTAGTCTCGTGCTGAAAGCTGCCCTATGATAGGTTCAATACACATCCAGGATGCTGTCATCTAGTCAGAAGAAGGATTCCGAAGGATCGCCTCCCTTTCAAAGCGAGGCCAGCGGACGTTTCAGATGCAACTCCTCGCGAGTGAGCTGAAGGAGATGGAGTCGGAGGTGGCCGTGGTTGATCCATCTGAGAAGACGCAAGACACCAGAAATCCAGCTGTGGCCTAGGGCACAGTGAGAGCCATTGCAGGAGAGCTTCGGGATGCTGCCGAAGCCACAGCACTTGATAGAGCTTTGTGTTAGCCATTCCTTGCCTTCTCTTTGGCGAACCCCGATCCTCCGACGCAGCTTGACTTTCGATTGGCTGTGTTCAAATCTGCCTCAAGCTCAGGCGCGTTGCCATCATTGCACAAGAACATCCATGAATCAGTCTTCCAGCAGCCACACAGAGGCTTTGCCAAGCCATCGAGCAGTGCAGGGACAACGTCACAGAGGAAACTGGCGAACTCTGTGCTTGAGTTTTGTGGTTCAAGACTTGCAGCTGCCGCAATCAAACCTCTCCGACGAGAAGTTGCGCCATGAGAGTTTTGAAAGCAAAGACCAGTCGTAGTTTGACCCCTGCAACAAATTACATGAGTAGCAACATACGGACGTATTATCAGTCAGGACCCCAAATCCGGGATCGCTAGTCTGGCAGTAGACCTCTAGATCCCAAGCCCTGAAGCGTAAACCTTGGTTCCCAAGCCCAACACGGAAAGCCACAACACCCCAAAAGCCTTGAATCCTAAGCCCTAAACCCTATGTCCTCGTTCTGAGCCGAAGAGAGTCGAAGGACTTTCTGGCTCAGCTGAGCAAGGCAAGCTACATTGCCCGTTTGGAGCAAGTTGCATGGCGTTCCGAGAGGTTTTGTAAGGGTTTGCATCGAGCTGTCGTAGGTTTCGAAGGATTTTAGAGACAAAGGGTACCTTGATTGGAGTTTCTAATAAGGATCCTGCTATTTGGTGTTTTTAGCGCGGTGCGATTTTCTGCAACTGGAGTAACTTTGAATATACAGGTGTATGTAGGTATATGTACGTGCATGTGCAAACTGTGATTCTATGCTCTTCTCCCTGCTTCCATCTGACCTTTTTCATCCACCTGTCTATACCTCAATCTTTCCTGTGTGTCCACTTGGCTAGGGCTCTGCGCTCTTACGTGTCTTTGCATGGGCTTGGACCGGGCGTTTCCATCCGGCCGGGAAGCACAGAAAAAAATCGATGAATATCGTTGAATCGTCACAGAACAGGGGGCTGCGAACCAAAACACCGAAAGATCTCGGATACTCATTGAGGAATTACTGGGCTCTGCATCTGAGCCAGCTTGGTTCACTGACTAATCAAAAGGGTGGTCCTACAAAGTAAAACTTATGTCCTGCAAAACAGAGATAGGTCCAGGGTGGGGTTTTGGCTCCTGCGACGAGGTTGTGAGTGTGCCCGAAAGTCACAGTGACGGCTGTGGGTTCAGTGTCGAACTCGAGCTTTGAGAGTTCACCGGCTTGGGGCTGGGAGCCAAGGATGAGAGAAAGAAGTTTTCTGCAAAATACATGCTTCATGGTGGCAGGCATCCAAGATTTCGTTGAAGCTGGTGCCTCAGCCCCTGCTAGGCGAGGTTCTAGCAGATTATCGCACTGTCGAAGCGCGTGTTTTTTCAATACGGGTTGCTCGCATGGCTCATTCCATGAGCAGTATGGATAGACTCCATCCAGGAGTCGCAAGTACGTTTTCTGTTGCACGCAGAGTTCGTTGACATGAACAGCCGGATTTTGCTTCTTTGATACCGTGGTTTGAACTTGTGCCAGACAGCTTAGGAAGCAATCCAGCTTCTGTCAGATAGGATCGCCTTGACAACAAGCCTGCATTCCATGCACCTTCGCATGTAGACGGTTTTGACCATGTAGTTGGAGTAGTCACAGCTTGCCCAGGGCAATGCTTAATCTGGCTGCGGCCATGCTGCAGTCGGTCCCGCAAGAGAAGGAGGCAACAGGGCTCTGCATGACTCTGCCCGGTTTCTTCGATACAGACTCCGGAGATTTGCAGGGGGTGCTGCATTTTGTTTTTACCTGCCTTCGAACTGCAAAGCAGTTTTGTCTAGAGTCTCCCCCTTGTCACTCTGGGTCTCTCGGCGAATGCGCACGCAACGAGTTTTACTTGGTAGACGTCCAACCGTGAGAAACTCGTTTATCGGAAGAGAAAGCTCCTTTGCCGCTGGTTTGAGAGGCAAGCCGGAGGGAGGTGGCCAAGTTCCTCAAAGCGAAGCTCAGGCTCGCCACCGAATCAAGGTGTTTAGGCGGTCCTGGCGGTGATGTTGGGTCTGTCTCCAAGTTGGAATGAAGCTTTGCCTGGAAGCTGAAGCCCAGAAAGATACACAGGTATCGTGGATCTGTTAGCAAGCTCGAGGCTATGGATAAGTCAGGCACGAAACTCTGGCCACCAAACCTGATTCACCATTCTTTTCAAGCATTCTCGCAAGGGGGCTCCGGTGAAGGGACTTAAGCTTTCAGCTTTTGAACTTTAGATTCAGTTGCTCCGGGATGAATGTCCCAAGCGATGCTTCCAGTCGCTCACTCCGGGGCTAGCAACTTCCCGTGCTTCCGCATCCTCACGAGGTAATAAGGCACAGCCTTTCGCGGGCTTGTTGATGGGAGCCCTATGCCAATGCTGTACGCCGCTTTGTTCGTACTTTGGCTCCAGGTCGGAGAGTTTAGTTGCCAAAGGCCCACGATCAGTGGGCCGCAGATTTCCCCAACGGCATCCCAACTTCCAGCTTGCCTCCGGCAGGAATGAACTCGGAGAATCGGCAGAGGAAGAAAGCACACTAACACTACTATCACACCGTGTCTCAACTCGTGCGCTTGCGTTTGCCCTGAAGGCACAGTGCTAACGAATCGGCTCTTGCCGAAAGGAGAACTCCGTCTCTGGGGAGCTCTTAGTGGGGCTTTCAGGAAAAATAGCGGACCCGGATATGCACCCTGAGCATCCTTAACATTGTCACGCTTTTAAGCCAGTAGTGACACAAGAGCCTGGAGTTCTCCCGCCGGCACAGCCCTCCGGGCGTTTCGGCTGCCCGACTTGACTTCGAACCCCCTCCATGGCCTGGTCGGCACTCTCAGCTCTGTCTGTCAACTGCATACTCAGCAGTGCTTATTGTCTGAAACTAGCTTCAGCATGCCCAGTTCACAAACCCAGTGCGCCATGCTTCTCTGCAGCTGTTTGCAGCTTTGTCCAAGTGCTGGCTTTGAACATGAAGTCATGGAAAGTTGACGACACCCGCAGCATCACCGGTGTCAGTGGAACAGGTGGTGTTGAGCCTGCAGCTTGTGTCGATCCGTGTCCCTTTTGAAGCCATGTGGGGTCTGCTGGTGCTTTTTCCTGTGCTGCTCAGTGCAAGGCCCGTGCCCCAACAAGAGCGTTCCTCAGAGATTGATGCGTTTCCTTGGAGTTGATTTTGTGTCTGGACGTGTTCCCTGGCTGGTCCCACATGATTTCGAGGTTTGTCATGAAGAGACGAGGGTGTTCCAGCGGCCACGTAGGCTGTCACTCCTTGCTCCATCCGTTCCAAAGCTCTCTAGAAACGGCCTTTCAAGGCTCCACCGTCTCAAGCGCTGGAGCCTCCCAAAACCGTCCTAAAGCTGCTCACGCTTCAGGCCTTGCCCTGGCGGGGAGTGTGTCAAGGAGACGCGTCGCTGTATGATGTTAGTCGTACTTCTTGTAATTATTGTCTTCATTTACTTCCCCAGCGGCCGAGAAAGAACAACAAAGCAAGCCACATGCACCCAAACTGCGTTTGGTTTGCAGTTCTGCCGTCAACAGACCGTTGCGCACCACTGAGGACGCAAAACGCCGGGGCTGGGGTTTCGCAGTTCTGCTTGCAAAAATGCTACAATTAGTTCTGGGAGTTCCCAGTGCCCGAGACGACATAGCGACTACGTGGTTGACGACATCGAGCGGAAGCCGCAGCTGTTATCCAACAGCCCGTCACCGGCCGGGTTGAGGACGAATACTGTAGATGTCGAAGCTAGTCACGAGTCTCAGGAGCACCTCTTGCTGCAGCAGAAGCACGGAGTGCAGAAGGCAATCGTGGGCTGGGACAAGAAATGTTAGTCGTGCGTTTGTAAGGGAGCACGCAGTGCTCTGGCGGCAAAACTCACAACCACTAGTGCGATGTTCTAGACTCTGATGGCGGAGAGTTTATGCGCAAGCGCCAAGACGCATTCATGAGATGTGTGTCAGGTCCATGCACAGCACAAGGCCATGGACGCAGTGAAGGTGCACAAAGAGGCAAGGTGACCACAAGCTTCAGGGTCGGATTTCATTCACCCTTCCTCTCAAGACACGAGTTGTCCCTTCTTCCTTCTTGTATGTGGATGCTCGGCCTGTAGGCATGCTTCAACGATCCCCGCAAGAGCGCAAGCGTCCCAGGCATCCATCGTAGAGGCCCATGGCCGCCTGGGCGTGATCGGCAACAAGGTCGTGGATGAGTCACTTGGTGGATTTGTATCATAAACGGTGCTAGGTAATGTAATGCATAGTAGTATACTATAGTTACAATATATCTGTATATGTATATGTTTATATGTACATGCATATACATGCTATTATATATTGTGCATGATATTGTTACTGTAGTACCACACGGCCATACGGTGTAATGTATGGTCTACGTGCATAGATGAAGCCCGTGATCAAAAGGTGCCATCTACACATAGCAAAACCACCCACGAGACTGTATCGACGGCAAGACGCATACAACTCAACACATGCTGTGTAGAGCATGCCCGAGGTGTGAATACATACAAGTATACATCCGTGACATACATGCATACATACGTGCAGACATGCTTATGTACATGCACCTGCAATGTACACCATATACTGCATTCTTGTTAAGAGTTCTAGTTTAAGCTATCAGAAAAGGGAAACCGCATATATTATTCACTCTTGATCCTTACTATGGTAGCCTAAACTAAGTTCCTTAAAGCGAGAGCCCAGTAAGCGGGGCACAGCCAAGGTATGGGCTGCCAATTCGCCTTCGGGGCATGTCCCTCTTTTGGTCTCAGTGGAAGCCACAGTTCTGGACGTCAGGCCGGGAGCAAATTTTAAACCCTGAAGCCCTACTCATAGTACATAGTATTGTCATTATTATTTACAATGTTAGTACAACTTATGGATAATACCGCTACACGTTGGTCTCCTTAGGAATTATCTTAGTCTATTATCCCTGAAACCTTACTCAGTATGGACTAATAGTTGAATATTACTGAGAATAGCCCTAAAAGCTTTGGCCTCCTTAGGCATCGTTTTCTATTGGTTCAGTGAGGGGTCTACAAAACCCGAAACCGAGACCCTGAACCGTTTAGCAGCATGCTCTGCTTGGCGCTTGCCACCTCAAAGCCTTCCCGAACGAGAGCACGGGCGAGCCAGGAACCGTCCAGTGGTTGAAGGAGGACTGCATTCCGAACCGGAGCCGCTTAGAGTAGCATTGGAATCGTAGCGTCGTAGAACGGAGACCGGACAACTAGAATAAGGAAGGGGCAGGTGTGTGCGCTGCACAGGACCAAACGCTGGAGTTTAGAGTGCAGTACATCACGAAACCATTGAACTGTATAGCTGTGTATCTGCGCAAAATCAGATGCCGCACCTAACCAGCAGCGAGCACATGCCATCATCACCTAGATGTCAAGAAACTTATGGACAAATCGACAAGCTCATACTGCAAGCTTCTCCTTCCTGGCTGAAAAAATGTATGTCAGCCGACGAATACAAAGTCTTATGAAGCAATAACCTGCTGATACAACAGTAGAACTGCTTCCAAGCGTAGGGTCTACACTGCTGCCCAAGCCCTAGACTTGTGCAGAGCAGCCAAGCAGTCAAGACGGGCCAGCTGAAGCTAACCCGAGATGGGATGTTTAGGAACGCCGCGGTGCTCGATTGGACCTTCAGTTCTTTGCCTTCAGTTCGTTTCGAGAAAAAAGATCTAGTTCCAGCGCATTTGCACAGAGGTCATCCGGCAGAATTCCAATATCTGTACAGAGATGTGCCAGTTTGAAGCACGCGAAGACTGGACTACTTAACGGTACGCAACTCAGACCAAGCTCACTGCTTTGCAGGATTGGGGTATCACCCTGCTGCGCTGCCCGATGGCGGTTGAGGCTGTCTTTCTGGGCTTTCGATCTTCCCAGAAGCCTCGGTATATTGTAGTATATCGTAAGTACAGTATAGCACATGATCGTGTGGTATCCTGTCTCACAGTTTATTCCAGTCTATGCTCGCATCAGCCACCGGATTGGCCTCCTTGAGAACCCGGAAGGCTGGTGGCTACCTGACCGACCCGGAGACCGAGCTGGCCAAGTTGGAGGTGCAGCCGGGAGGAATCAGGGATAAAGCGAGCGTGGAATCAAATAGGTCATGCTGTAGCCGCATCGTCGATTCCCCCCATTCTGTTTTCTGAAAGAGTTCGGGGCTTCAGGTTTCTAAGTTTCGCGACAGTCGTCAAATCTCATGCCTTTCTCGTGGTGGTACCTGGTAGGGCACCGCTGTTGTACGCTGCCCTCCGAGGCTGTGGTTGATGCAGCCATCGCTGCTGATATCTATGTCATCATTGATGCTTGGCGGAGTAGAAGACCCTCTTCCCACTGCATCGATGTCGGGTGCCATCAGCACAGAGCCAGCGGAAGAAGATATCCGGCATGTCGACCCGCACGATGGCATGGCTACGGTCGTCCCGACACCCCCACTCACACAACAAGCTAAGCAATCTCAGCGGGCAACCAAATTCGTTTCAGCAATTGCACGGGTTTGGAAAGTTTCCAAGCTGGATTAGCTTACTGGTGATGAGGACTGGCACGACCACAACGCGAACGATCATGTGGAGGCGCTTCCCGCCCGTTTGAGAGTGCCTGGCGGGGGCGAGCCTTGGAGAGTGTGTCCCGTGATCCGTATGCAAGATGGGAGTTTCCGAAAGTAGGGTCGCTAAGACAGACAGTATCCTAAGTAGTAGGATTCTCATTAGAAGGACCCCAAATAAGGTACCCCTAACTCTCGGAAACTCCCAGATAGGCCGCAGCAAAGCATGCTGTGCCAGGCGGCCAAGGGGTTCTTCACACAGGTGTCGCAGAAGCCTCTCTGTCACATTCTAGAGATTCAGTTCTTACGTTGCAGGGTTACTCTGAAGGGGCGGGCTTGGTCAGAAGGATGGGTTTGTCACATGATTCTAGTTGATTGGGCCCAGGCTCAGTTCCAAAAACGGCTGTTGGCGCACCCCTTGTGTGATTGGGTCCGCAAGGTACGGTCAGTATCCAAATGTCATGTTCGAGATTTTCAACGAGCCGATCTTCCAAAACTGGACCGAGACAATCAAGCCCTACCATGAAGAGGTGGTGGAGGCCGACACCGTCAGCTTTGCCCATCTGCAAGACTCTGCCGTCTAGTTACACGACCGAGGTGATCCGGCAGAACTCGCAGAACCTCATCATCATGGGAACTCGTGTTTGGTCTCAGGACGCTAAGATTTCACGTCGGGAAGGTGTTGCAAGCCCTCAAGAAACCGGCCCTCCATGTCTCGACTCCGAGAAACTCCTTTTTTGTCATGCGCGGCCGAAGGACGTGGATGGTGCTGCAGAAGACCCTGTAGAGGGCGTGAATCTGGCCTATACCATCCATTTCTATGCCAATACGCACAAGCAGGCAGTGGGTTCATATCTTGAAGGCTTGAAGCTGCCACGGCAGTGTAGGAGAATTCAGCTTTGAGGAGGCATGCAGAATGGAAAACTTGCGAGAGAGAGAGAGAGAGAGAGAGAGAGAGAGCGGGAGAGAGAGAGGGACAGAGAGAGAAGTCGGAAAGAGCAGCCTGAAGGTGTGGGCTCGTGCTCTGTCTTCCCCCCTGTCGGTCCCTAAGAACTCTTCCCTGTGATGGCGCAGGAGCTGCGTGAGAAGGTGGTCAAGGCCCTAGAGGCCGTATTTCGAGAGGGAGATCGATGGAACGGATGAAGATTCAGCACACTCCGCATGTAAGCAGGTCTGAGTCTGAACATAATCTCTACTGCATCGCTCGCACTTACGTTAGTTTGTTCGCGCAATTGCCGTTTCTTACAAGCTTAGGCCTTGTCATAAGCCCAGGCTGAGTTCCAGAGACATCGGATGAGATATGCGGGCTTTTCTGGATTTTGTTATTTTCAGTGCCTGGCGGGGCTGGCGTGCTATTGCTCAGCAGGCGGGCATCGCCATCTTTGCGACCGAGCGTCCTGGCCGTATGCAGTAGTCCTCGTCTCGACCAAGAGTTCCGAAAGAAGAAGCGCTGGCTGAGGTGGGGAACCTGCGATGCCAGCGGAGACGGCACACTGAACCTCGAAGAGGTGCTGCCCAGTCAGCTGTCGGCTTTGTTTAGATACCAGCTGCCCTGGTCAAAACATGCTGGTGCTGTGCTGAAAGTGATTGAAACTGCAACTCTCCATCCCTTCCAGACGAAGACTTGGCTGGACTTCTTCGCTGCCCACAACATCTCGGATGCAAATTGGGCCGTGAGCGACAAGCAGGATTCCGAAGCCTAAACCCGCCATCCTCGCCGGACTCCCCCAGCTTTGGCATGCAAATATCACGTGAGGGTAAGACAAGCAGTAGCTTCCGGCTTGGTGATATCATAAGTGGCCGTCGACGTGCCATCACGGACACACAAGCTTTCCGTGCTTTCAGGAGGCATGCTCCGCACTTCTCCCAGGCCAGGGGTTTGTCAGAACCTCGCGGCTTCGGAGTTTGGGAGTACTTAGCAGCATGCTGCATGTTATCACTTGTGAAGGTGCTGACGGAGCAGGTCATTGGGAGGACGGAAATTTCGGGCTGAGAGATGAAGCGTGAAACTATTGCCGTTGAGTTCGTGCCGGTGAAGTTTCCGCTGCAAGAATCCCCCATAGACTCTTGTGGCCTGCTCAATTCTTAGGGCCTTAGGATACAGCGGGCTCTTTTGCTGCCGCGCCTGTTTGATTGTGAGGATTGTGAGCTGACAGAGTCGGGCCACTTCGTGAGGCAGGCTGTGAGCAGTAACCCTTATAGGCCCCCTGTATGGGAACCCTATTCTGAGTCTGAAGGCCCGACGTTGAGCTAAAAGTTGTGCCCCCTTTTTCCCCAGCATCAAAGCTTCCAGGGCTTCATTGCGAGGGGAGACGATGCCGACCACTCTTCCAACTCCCTGCCCGAGGCGGGTGTGTTGGGTGGGACCTACAGGATTAGGAGTGCTCGGAATGCTCACGCCATTCAGAACTTGACTGGCTCAATAGGGGTATGGGCTATGCCACGTACAGCCACAAAGCGCACACATCCTGCAATGTCGGTGGCAGCAGTGTTCCAGTCACATCATCAGTCCTTTGTCTGGTTTGCTTATCAACTGAGACAGCAACACTTTAGAGCACGAAGGAGGACGAAATCCCTGGAAGCTCCTCCTGCAATCTCAAGATTTGAGCACCACATTTTGACGTCCTTGGAGCCGACACCGGCATTTGTATTCTTTTGCAGCTTTCAATGAAACTTAACTTTGGGCTAGAGACCGACTTCATGTGCCCCCTGCTCAGGTTGACCACGCCTCCACCCGGCCAATGCGCAACATCTACGGAGACTCGGAGTCAGAACGCTTGCAGAGCACGCTGCAGAGCATACGCGACTTCTCCAAAAGCACTCCACGTCTCGGTCCATGTTCCAGGAAAGCTGTGCAGAGAAGAAGTGCTGCGAGGACATCGGTAGCAAGCAACCCGGCTGACATATTTCAGGGCCATGGTGCGAGGCTTGTTGATGCACACAGCAGCTGTTTGCTGGAGGTCGCTATGACTTTGACTTACCCCTGTGTCAAGAAGATATCCCAGACCCTGAGCCCTAAATTCGAACAGTGGAACCCTAAGACAACCCCATTTACATGGGATCTTATTACAAGGACCCCTGAGAAAGGTAACACCCCAATCTTAAGAAACACCCGATTGGAACTTCAGCCCCGAGGTACTCTAAACCCTAAACCCTAAACCGTCGGAGGTGCTACCAGAAGAACGAGTATTGGGCATCCTGCAAGGCGAGCTGCACACCAGGCCACCCAAACTGACATGATTGGCGGTTTAGGGTGTAGGGTGGGGCTGAGACGTGACTTCGAGATGTAGGCCACCCGGGCCGATGTTGAATGTGATCAGCCGAGAGAAATTTCCACTCCTGCCACTGACAAGCCGAAGGCGTGGACCCCAGTGATCCGCCCGAGTATGCCTCGCCCTGGACATGCAAGGTCGGCTTCTGTGGGAAAGCACGGAGAGCGGTTTCCGTAGATGTGCCCTTGAGTGTAGGATTGGAGGCTAGGGCTAGGGGCGAAGGCCAGCTCCCGTGTCTTTGATGTTCAGCGTAGAAGGATTAGCTTCCTTTGAATTTTGTTCTAAATTTTCCGCCACCTCGGAGCCAAACCGCGTGGGTGTGTGCAGACGCTGAGCCATTTGCACAGGCAAGAGTGTCCAAGTTTCCACCTGCTTTACTTCCAGGATCCTATCTCGACCGTAATGGGTCTAGTGCGTAGGACACTTTTGATATCAAGTGATGTCGCAATGTCGCAGGTGCTGACACGCGATGAGGACCTGGGAAGTCTGTATTTCGGTACTTAGCAATGGTTTCGGAGCTCCGGTGCAGTGTCAGTGCCGGTGTTGTTGAGCGCCGAAACCCGTTGCCTGTCTTGATGCTCAGGGCCTTGCGTTTGTGCTTGTGTTGCAACGACTCGTCCGCACTGCACCGTCCAGGATGACGACGAGGACCCTGGCGATGACGAGGACGATAAAGACGAGGACGATGACGAGGACGGCGGCGAGGACGGTGGCGAGGATGACGACGACAACGAGGACCTCCCCTGTCCTGGGTTTTATCGCTTTCGAGAGTGCATCTTGTTGCCGAAGCGCACTAGCAGCGGGCAGAATGGCCGAAGCAACAGCTGTTGCCTCACCGCCAATCAACAGCAAGACGTGGAAGTCTGCGTGTCTGTTGGTCCTTTGTCAATCTCGGGCAGTTACCGGATGGTAGTGTAGAAGTGCATGCTTCATGTCTTTTCCTGATCCTTTATGGCCTCGAACTGTCTTCCAACATGGTCGGCTTGACCACGCAGCTAGCCGGGCCAGCTACTTGAGGCCGACGTTCACATGCACCGTGACTGGAAGAAAGTTACTGACTGAGTGGCAGCTTTTCCATGCGACTGTGGTTGCACTTAGATTGGACGGCATAAGATGCCGGCAAGGGGCTTCCTTGCATCAGAAAGGTTTAGCTCGCTGATTTTGAGCCCCGTGAAGGGGCACGGATTGACAACAGGTCCCGACGTGGACCCAGCATGGCATGTATGCCTACTGACATTTTTGAAGAGGGCAGCTGCTTGGGAGACTCGGTGTCAAGTGTGTAGAACTGGTGCACCTGCGCTAAGTGTGTGCCTTGCCCACCTGGCCCACATATCCCTGACGTCCCATCGGATCGCCTTGTAGCACCATCCCTCATGCAGCTCTGCTCTTGTTTCCAAGTTTGGAATTCAGAGGGCAACGGCCCTCGATGCGTCGGGACGGGACGCAAGGGAACAGGAGACGGGGAGTTGCCGGTCAGAAGTTTGTTGTGGACGAGGCTCGCCGGTTGCTAGGCGAAGTCCGTGGCATTCATTGAAAAGCTTCTCTCTGTCAGGTAGACCCTTGCAAGATATTCCTGTACAGTACAGTGCTGCAACGCCAGTGTCTGTGCATCAGGGAGGGCACGTCTTGAAGCAGAGTCATCCCGCACGGAGTCCCTTTTTTCAAATTTTTCGGGGTGCAACCACTCATGGACCCCAACATACCAAAATCCTGAACTTCCTGAATGCTCAACCCTGAACCGCATGAATCTGCTTCCAGCCTGGCCTTCTCGGCTGTTGACCTAGTGTTGCCCAGGCCCGCTTTCAGCTCCTGCCATGGACAAAAGGTCGCTCCAAGCCTTCCCCAACTATATGTTTTAAAGTTCTGGCTTTACTATGGTTCTTTCGTCAGTAGTATGTTTACTGCTGTTATTACCACTATATTAGGGCTTCTATGAATACCAGTAGTCTTTTCACCAGGGGTGAGTGCAGGTATGGATCTAGCTCGTTGCTACTACTGGTATTTCACAGGCTGCAGTGCACATACCTCTGACAAGTCTGGAAAGCTTGCAGGGCCGCGAGGTGGATCAATTGAGAGCTCAGCCAACCAAGCTTTAACTGAAAGACGCCGCGAAGCCTCCTGCATGCACAGCACTCCGGGCGTTCCACCTCCTGCTACCCTTCCCAGTGTGGTACATCTGGACGATTTTGTACTCTGTCGTGTGCGACGGGCTGTGAGATAGCCTCAGGTCTCGTATGGAGGAGGAGGAGCGTTCCACCGACCCAGTGCTGTCTGCGCACTGCGAGGCGCATGGCGGGGGGACTCCCAATTAATTCGGGGCGCGTTCTGAGTGTGGATTCAGCCCTCGGCGAAGAGCTTTGGCGGATTCATGCGATCTTTCCAACAGTGCTGACAGCAGACATCGAAAAAGCACAATGCTTGAACAAAGACAGCTAAGAGCTAAAGCCAACTTCGACGTCCTGTGCCTGCAGGCCGCTGGCTTGGAGCTCGCGGTTCGGACCTGGCTCCTTGCTCGGGCGAGTGCAGTAACAACAATATTCTGTACTGGACGATACTACAATATACAATACACTATACTGTTAAATACTACAGTATACCATATTATACCACAGTATGCAGTACTATGGTATGCAAACAACAATGTACAACAGTACACTACATTATGTAACATCGTCTTGCCACGATCTTCACGGTTTCGGGATGGTTGATGTTTGCTGCTGCTGTCGCCACTGTTACTACTACCGGGGTACTACTCCTGCTGCTGTTACCACTAGTGCCACCACGACGTACTGCAACTACAACGACAACGACAACTACGACAACATCGGCAGCAGCAGCAACAGCAACTACTGCTACAACAACAACTACTACGACGACGACTACTACAGCTACTTCTACCACCACTGCTTCTCGTAAGAAGCTCCAGGCCTGAATCAGGCTCAGGTGAAGATTGTTTCGAATGGACCTGTTTTGCGAATTTCTCCCCTCCTACGGGGTAGGATCCATGTATGTTTCGAACAAGTCGCGGTTCACATGCAACACAGCTGAGGTGGCGTGGTGCGCCTGGTCGAAGAACGCAGCGAGAGGCAGGGGGATTGGCTTCCCAGACTGTTGCAGAAATCGTTTCCTCGTGCCAAACACTGGCCTGCCATGTGCTCAGAATTGTTGAATTATGTCAACGCCTGGTTTCGCAGGATGCATGGCTTCAGAAGAATGCAGCAGGCGGCGTGCAGGCCGAGACGAGCACCTCTGAGGATCCCAGAAGCCTTGAGATGTTGCATCGAGGCTCTGCAGCTTTTCCCTTGTTACATTGTTTGGCATGGCGATCGGCCTTCAACCTCGAGGTGATGAGCCCCCAACCTCAACGCAAATCCGGAATCTGGCCCTTCCCGCCCCTCTGCTGAGCCACGAAGTTGCTTTCTGTGGAAAAGAGGTACATGGAATGCACAATCCTTCAACTCCAAATCTTAACGGCTTGATCCTGTAACACCAACAGACCACCAGAGAAATGTGCCAAATGGCTCTTTGAACTTAAGCCCTCCACCTTAAAGCCCAATCCCCTGACCCTTCTGTTCTCGGAAAGGCTGGTGCCCACCAGCGACTGATGCGGTGTGGGCGGAGCCCTTGGGTTGGAGGGGAAGAAGGGGGCGAGAAGAGCTAGAACAGGATTCTTCGGGTAGATACGACATCACAGGCGACAGCAGAAGACTACCAGTAGTCGAAGAAGTTTATTCATCAGCCAGACTCGATTTCGGGTTTGGTTGGAGCCCAAACCCAAGCCCACATAATCCGAAGCCGTAGACCGACAAACCCTTCTTGTTCCAAGGATTCCTGAGAGTGTCCTGCGCAGCGGCGTGCAGCTGGGCCAGGCAGCTAGAAGCGGGAGAGAGGGCTGGTAATGAGGCTTCTGTCGCGCCGTTGCCGGAAGGGTTTGGGGTTCGGAGTTTGGGGTTTATCACTGGTCAAGCACACCTGAACGGGACCCTAGATGTTTGAGGATCCCTTCAGGCCGTGACCTTTCGCTTGCACAGACAGAGCAGATTACCGAAAGACTGCAGGCCCTCGCAAAAGATGCGGGTGTCTCCAAGAACTGGCGACAGGTGGTGGAGCCTTGGCTGCTTCAGAAGCCAAGAATCCCAAACCCATGGTGCCCGAAACGCAGGTCGTCGCGAGGGCCGAGTCGAAGTCTGGGCACCGGCGACTGCGATGTCCACGAGCAGTAGCAGCAACAGAAAGACAGCGGCATCCACAACAGTTGCAACAATAAGCAGGGGCTGCATGAAGGAGCAGGAATAGGAATCCTCTTCGTCGTTGTCGCCGTGGCAGTAGGAATAAGCACACAATGACATGAGGAAGGACAACAACAAGAACGCTGCCAACAGGTCCAGCAGCAGCCGCCACACAAGTAGCCGTGATGGAGCGGAGCTGAGGAGAATGCCTCCACTTGCGACAGCACCAGGAGGCAACGGCGTCCTTGATTCTTTCACTGCTCACTCCGAAGTCTGGTCTTGACACATGTATTGCCGTGTCTGTATTGTATGATACACCACATAGGCATTCTTGCCTGAGGTCCTATCTCGTGGTGAGTCATCTATGTAATGGTAGTTGATTGGCGGTCATCGCAGTTCGAAGCTTGTTGGGCAGGCTCTTCATGGCTCGTAGGTAAGGTTCAAACCCTGACAGTCTGCCCCAAAGCCGCGCAAACAGCATTCTCTAGACTCTAGTGCACCCCAGAGCGCTTGAACTCAAGGAAAAGCGTGGAAAAACACCAAGGACCCTAAACCCCAAACCTTAAACTCCTAAACCCTAAAAGCACCATGGCAGGATTCCGAGCACGCCAACGGTGGCCAGCCCTCAGGGCAGCCCCAATGGTCAGAAAAGTGCGAGGGACGTGGTGAGGAAGTTCCAAGTCAAGCTCATGCAGGCGGGGCTCAGGCGATGAGGAGGGAAGTTTATGCTGCGA